AGGGTTGCGCGCACACCGGACAAATCGCACTCTCGCCTGCATTTCGCACACTCGACACGCACGCTCTCCGCAGAGGGTTGCGCGCGCATACGACAAATCGCACTCTCGCCTGCATTTCGCGCACTCGACGCGCACGATCTCCGCAGAGGGTTGCATTTTCGGTTGACGCTGTTCGTCCCACCCTCCGCCTTTGAGAGAGAATTTATAAGGTGGGGAAATGTTGTTTTCATTAGGACATCTCCCGTGCAAGTTTTTTAGGACATTTCCCGTGCAAGTTTTCCATACTCACACTTGCATACTTGTGCATACTTGCACTGGGATTGCACTGGGATACTTGCATACTTGCACTTGGATACTTACACTTGCATACTTACCCTTGGATGCTTTTGTTCAAGTGCAAGTGTGGAAGTGTCAGTGTGTAAGTGTAAGTGTCGAAGTGTCAGTGTTCAAGGGATTTTCCGGAAGAACCCTTCGCAATGCTTTCGGGAAAATAAGCAACTGAACAATGCGTTCACTGGTTACCTTTCGCAATGCAAGCTCTGAACGAACCTCTCTCACGCCACCGCGAGCTCGGTACAACAGCGTTCACCAAGTAGCTTCAGGTGACACGCAGCAGCCATTGCCTATATCTTCGCACGCTCTCTCTGCTCAGCTCGCGACTCGCCTGTGTCTACGGAAAAGCTCCCCCGAAAAAAATGTCTAGCTACGTCCAGGTGTACTGTGCGTTTTGTGTTCAGTGTGACGTGTTCAGTCTAGTGTCTCGAGTCCGTGTATCGGTCTCTGTGCGAGTGTCTATATTGTTCAGTGTGACATGTTCAGTCTAGTACGTCGAGTCCGTGTGTGGGTCTCTGTATGTATGTCTATGTTGTTAAGTGTGACGTGTTCAGTCTAGTGTGTCGAGTCCGTCTCTGTGTGTGTGTCTATATTGTTAAGTGTGACGTGTTCAGTCTAGTGTGTCGAGCAACACGCACGATCTACGCAAAAGGCCGCGCGCGCATCGCACCAATCGCACTCTCGCCTGCATTTCGTGTACTCCACGCGCACGTTCTCCGCAGAGGGTTGCGCGCACACCGGACAAATCGCACTCTCGCCTGCATTTCGCGCACACGACACGCACGATCTCCGCAGAGGGTTGCGCGGGCACAGGTCAAATTGCACTCTCGCCTGCATTTCGCGCACTCGACGCGCGCGATCTCCGCAGAGGGTTGCGCGCACACCGGACAAATCTCGCCTGCATTTCGCGCACTCGACACGCACGATCTCCACAGAGGGTTGCGCGCGCACAGACCCAATCGCACTCTCGCCTGCGTTTCGCGCACTCGACACGCACGATCTCCGCAGAGGGTTGCGCGGGCATACATCAAATTGCACTCTCGCCTGCATTTCGCGCACTCGACACGCACGATCTTCGCAGAGGGTTGCATTTTCGGTTGACGCTGATCGTCCGACCCTCCGCCTTTAAGAGAGAATTTATAAAGTGGGGAAATGTTTTTCATTAGGACATCTCCCGTGCAAGTTTTCCATACTCACACTTGCATTACACTTGTGCAAGTTTTCCATACTTGGATACTTGCCGTTGGATGCTTTCACTCTTCCACTTACACTGGGATACGTCTAGAAGCGTAGTCTTCATGTTCTCTTCATGTTCATGTTCAATGTTCAAGTGTAAGTGTGGAAGCGTAAGTGTTCCAGTGTACGTGTCGAAATGTCAAGTGTAGAAGTGTCAGTGTTCAAGAGATTTTCCGGAAGAACCCTTCGCAATGCTTTCGGGAAAAAAGAAAACTTCCTTGGACCCTTGCTGCTTTGCTGTTCGACGGGTCGGCAACCAATGCTGCTGAAGCCCTTTCCTGTGGTCGGGAATTAAGGTCTGCAAACGAGGTGGCTTTCGATTTAGTGTTATAGACATAGATTGGAAAAGTTCATGCTGCATGGCCCTGCATGGCAGTACGTGCCGTTTGTCTCGCTAGAAAATGACATTAGTCCCCAATGGAAAACATCCTGGACAGGTTCGGGAGATGACTCACTTATCATCTCAGATGTACTCCTCATAAGCTACATAAAAAGGATGCGTCATTGCGTCATTTCATCTCATTTCAAACCAAAGTGCAGATCCACGCCATATTCTCCAATGTTGAGGAAATGTTGAACAAAAAGTGAATTCTGTTGCCCGCTCTGCACAGTTTCACGGATTTTGGAAAACTCCTGGCTGCTAACATTCTATTGTTTTATGCTGGGCACTGCAACTAGGCCAATAGAAAGGCCCCCTTTGCATTGTAACAAGGAATAGATTTGGGAAGACTGATCTGCTACAACACAGGACATTTCAAATTGCACCGTGTCTAGCCGAGATTGTGTGTGTGTGTGTGCAAAGTCATATGGGTGCGAGGTTGACATGAAAAGACCTTTTGCCATCACCTTGAAGAACTGGTTGAGAGGAAGTGAAGCCGACAAATTTCTTCTGATCATATGAAGCTCCACCGCAGGAGAATATATTTGGCCTAAGAAGCCTCACCTACTTCGCACACCAAGGAACATGAGCATGACATCTGACATCTAGCAAGTCTGGCCTCAGCCTCTTGGAACTTTGCCAGCTTCAGAAGGCAAAGAGCCTTGTCTGTGCTGTGGAAAGGCTGGCAGAGCTCTGTGTGTGTGTAAAGTGTAGCGAAGCTATATTTTGTGAGATGTGTTATTTGAGGTAAAAGCATGTAAAAGCAACAAATCCCAAAGGGCTGGCCGGGCTAGCCTGATTAGATGCCAAAGTGGATGCAATGGCATCCACGTAAGCTACCCTGGCTTGCGGTCACCACGGTCGTCGCACTTCGAAACAGCAACCAGCAGCAGCTTTGCAGCTTTGCACCTCTCCAGGCTTCGGAGTGCCAGCGCATACTTCTCCAGCGCTGCCTCCAAGTCTGGTCAAACACGGCGAGTTTGGCGCTGGGCCGTGCAGGCCATGCAGGCCCACCTCAAAGTCTCCGTTTCGGAACTCCTCATTCCCTTGTGCCTCAGAAATACGAAGCCCGATCACAAAGGTGCTAGCTCACCCGATTGACCTTCATGGTTTGACAAAACGACTCATTGCACACTCCAGTTTTCCATGCATGGCCATGTGGACCGTGAGCAAACATTCACAGTCCTGAATTCCAGACATCTTCATGCCTGTGAAGTTGCCACTGTGCGATGTACTGCGACATCTCCTGTACGGGATCTGTACAAGGTTGGCAGTCCCTCCGTGGCACCAGGGCCTGACAAGTCTAACTCTGCCCAACTGTACATGAATCATGAAAAGGGATTTCTGGCTGCTTGTCAAGATCATCGGAAAGTTCCTAGAGGGGCTTTGACCTTCTTGGTTGGTCGCGGGAAAGGCTTGCGAACACCATCCTTGAAGATGACGGGTTTGTAGGTGTCTGGAACGCTCTTGTGCATAACAGGGCTGTTCCGATATCGCTCCACATGAGCTTTGAAACCCTGATGTGGACCGCTCCATCCCACTTGACAAACTTTGGAAGTCGGCAAGGACCAGTTCGAAAAGCCATCGAAGCTACTCCAAGCGTGCTTCACAGCCTCACCATCCACCAAGTTTACAAAGGCGTAGCCCAAGTTCGCATCCCGGCAGAAATCACATGGAAGGTATACAAAGTCGTACAAACCCCCAAGGCCTTGCTCATCAAGCAATTCCAAAAACATATCACGGCTATAATTGTTTGGCAAATTGCGCAGCATAACTGTGGTGCGCTCTTGGCCCTGACCACAATCCTTCCCCTGACTTGCTTTGCCGCATTCTGTGCTTTTAGTTGTTGGCTCAGGGTCGACTGGCTGTTGCTTTTGAACCCGTTCATCGCTGAACTTTCCTGCCTCGTACACTTCTGGCACATCCAACCAGCCTGTCAAAACACTGTCTGACATGACTCTGCGAAGTCTTCTGTAATGGTGCCGCAAGCATTGATCATCGAAATCAATGAATGAGCTCTTGACGATGACATTGCCGTCCTGCACCGCAGGATCAGCCACACTGCTACGTGGGGAAAGTGGTCTCGACGAGCAGGTCTCAATCGTTTCAATGTCACTGGTTTCGACCAAGGTGGTGCTCTCGGCATCACTGTGATTGTCGGACTTCACGAGCATCTTGCTCATCTCCATGTTTGGATCCTAAGAACTCGACACAGGCGAACCCTAAGTGCTATTTCCTGGAAAGAGCTGCGGTTATTGATCGTGGGAACGCAATCCCAGAGAAAATCAAGCAGAAGGGTCAGTAGAGATCAACTTGTCGCATTCATGGGTGCCTTCTATGTAGATTCCATAGATCCCTCAAGACACATTGCATGTTCACTTGCAGCTTTCATGCCTTGAGACGTTCCACTTCTTCACGAATCTCTGGTCCTGGAAGCTGGCGGCGCTCTCAACTTCTCAAGTCAGTCTGAAGGGTGACAGTCTGTACAGTGTGTCTGTTTGGTTGGTCTGTTCTGCAGCCAGTCCTGCATTAGCAGAAGCCTGCCCAGCTTGTGGTAGACATTTGGTTCATCGTAACTCCAAACACACATACATTCTTACATGCGGTTACCAGGATTTAATTCTCCTGTTATGTGTGCAATTCCGATGGTTCCACCCTGACACTAGCAAGTGCTTCAGGCATTCTACTTCGCATGCTTCACACTACGCATGTTGTACATGCACACGAATGCATGTGATTCAAGCAGAATCATAAATTCTCTGCTGTGCAGTTGCATCTTTCGATGAATCAGAACCTTCCCTGTAGGGAAGTCGCACAGCGAGCGATTTTAGTCACAAAAAAATCATTGAACACTGCTAGAGTATACTACTTTGCCGCAGTCCATGAACATAGCTAAATCACTGTGGACTCTGTCGAAGAGTGGGATCCAAGGTCAGTGAACTTCCTGTCTTTCTCCACTTAATCCCGCTGCCTGAGAGACAGCTTCACCCTCCAGCATGGCTCCAAGGCGACCAGAGGCATCGGTTGTCAATGTAGAATGCAACTAGTAGCGTCTTTGCTCCTAGTAGTACGGCCAGGAGCCCCTAGTAGCGTCCTTGCTCCTAGTAGCGATGCCCTTTGCTCCTAGTAGCTTCTTGCTCCTAGTAGCAAAATGGCTTTCAATAAGGTAAAGATCCTTCTCCCAAAGCAGCAAATGTCCACATATGTCCACATGTGATGGTTCGTCTTCGCTATGGCAGTCCCTTCCTTGACCTTAACTTGTGGCATTCCAGAACACCTCCGGGTGGATGCGCACTTGACACAAGGCGGTGCCAGAAGACGTTTGGAAAGTGGCCCAAGACCATCCCTTGGCATCAACAAATGCACGTGTCGACAGTCCTAAGCTCCATGGCTGGATCAGGACTATCCTGACAAAAAGACAAACGTCAAGGTCAACGTCAAGATCCAATTGAGTAGTTGATCGGCATTCGTGTGTATTCGAATTGTGTTCATCTTCCATTCCGTAGTGTTCTTGCCTCGCCAGTCCCATTCGAAGTCGTCATTGCAAATGGGTTTTGGAGAGTGTCACCAGCCTGAGTGTTTCAGTTATTCCTTGACATGTCTAGTTGAAGACCAGAACATCTGCAGTTTGTCACTCAAAGCATGCTCTGCCTCGACGAGGTTCGGATTAATTCCTCCTGTACCACCAAGAAGCCAAGAAGCTATGAGACACCTGTCTTTCTCGACATCGCTCATGTGCAATCGTACAAAGAAGCCCGGTCAAGCTGGAGAGAGTCTTCAGCCACAGATGTTTTTCATTTCAGAGTTCACTGGTCTCCTGAAAGCTTCTGGCTGCATAGCTTGGCCTCCTGTTCTCAGAAACACCAAATTCTCTTGTGTCATGACAGGCTTATGATATATATATACACATGTGTGTGTGTGTTCAGGCTGAAAACATCCTGCATTAATTTTGTTGAATCCGAAGAAGTGGATTCTTCAACGTGGCCTGCTTTCGTACAAGTAAATGTTATGCTCGTCTTCTGTGCAACCCCTGCCGAATTGTCGAAGCTTTGATGTTCACACGCACGCTTTTTGCTTGAGTGACTACCCATAGTGTTCAGCGCACGGCTGATATATATGAGATTATATAAGGCTTCTAGAGTTGCCCGACTATGCATGTGAAAGCATCCAGGGCACCCAAGGCTAACGCAGCGTACGTCAAGAGTGGAGAAGTTCCACCCCCTGCAGGTATTGGACATGACGTACAGCATGGCATACATGGCATATATTTGGCGAACAAGTCGGGACAAATCTTTGAAAGCAATTTTCAACGGAACGGAACCTGTAACAACCCGTTGGCATTGGAGGTGCGAAACAGGATGTTTAGAATATAGGATCGTTGAAAGGAGCTCTTGATGCAGCGAACAGAAGAGCAAGGAGGGCATGGGCTTGTCCGCCAATGTGAACGTGTAGTAAACTCTACAAATGCAAACCCTAGTTCCCTTTGCTTGCCAGGGTCTTATGCCGCTCCTTTGCTATCTTTCAGTTCTGTATTGTTCATCCATTAGGTTTAGATTCAATCCATGTCACAAGTCGAGAGCTTTATCGCGTGGGCGTAACGGTACAGCCAATGAAGAGGTTGCTAGAAGAAAGTAGATCAATGACCTCAAAGTGTTGTCGCCCCCTGTCATGGTCCATCCCATCATGTCTTGAGACAAGCAGGCAGTTTCTCTGACCTTTTCACTGGCCATCGGCCACACTCGTCTACACGCTGGCTTCTTGACAGGCAGGAGCCCACTAGCTTTCATCCGTGCGTGTCGTTTGCCGGCACAAGCGTCATCAACTTTGTCAACGGTCAAGTACCGCATCTTCAAATTGTTGGCATTTGCTGCGTCTTAATGTAAACATCACCCAACTCCTTCTCTTTCCACTATTATACAAATTTGATGGAGCTTGTCATTATTGAGTACTGAAAGAGCAAAGCCAGCCATTCTTCGTACTTGCATTTCTTGGAAATGCAATCCAACGAGATGCACTGAAGTAAGCACTGCACTAGGGCTGTGCAGGACTCTTATCTTTGTGACCGAATTCATGTCCTCCCAAAGGGATAAACAATTTTACTTCCAATGAGCAGGGAAAGAGAGGATTGGCTCCCCCTGCGCAACCAGAAGGTCAATGGGCTTGAATTACGTGCATGTTCGCAAGCAAATGTACACCTCTTTCACTTCTGCCGCTGATCATTCATGCCCCCCTTATGCCACAAGCATTCGACATGCAGCAGCTTCTTGAAGACGAGTTCTTGGCGCTAAACTCAGTCGCTTGCACAGGGCCTTTCATCGGATATCCTCCCGCTGCAGCTGCTTTTGCATCTTTTGCATCAAGCCTTAAAGTTTGGAGCTTGAGAGAAAGTGAGGTGCCACAGGCTAAGAAAGAGAGAGAGAGAGATATATATATATACAAAAAGAGAGGCACTTAGGTTTGTGTCCATGATTCGGAAGCTCCTCCGAAATGAAATGTGACAAAATAAAATAAGAAGCTTGGGAACGACACCGATGTACATGAAAAAAAAAACATTGATCTATATAGATGTGTATATACAGTATATTATACTGTATAAGTTATAAGTGGTGTAGCTGTCTCTATCCCTCTCTCTCTCTCTCTTTAAGGTCGACACGCAGCCCTATGTTTGGCATACTGCCTCAGAAGCAGCCAGCTTTGAGCTTTGGAGCTGTCTCAACGCTGAAGGTATATAGTGCTCTTCAATCACATATATAAAAGAAAGTGCTTTCTGTGGCAAGAACTTGTCAAGTTCAATGTAGAAGCGATCATCTTGTTGCAAGTCTGCCAGACTGTACTGCCTCTCCAAATTCATGTCTCTTTAACACCAAGGACTCATTTCGTGCTCTCATTGTCAAACGCTTTGGTGATATCCGACAATGGGGCGTCCATCTCATATTAAACTTAAGACCAATCTCGACGCCTGCACCATTGGAGAACCTTTGCGTTGATGGCGTCTTCTCCATAGCCCATTTCCTTCAATGACCTTTGTGGGTCAGTGCTCCAAAGGGGAAGTACTCTGAATGACCCATTAAGGCTTGCACTGCAGAACACGATCATCCCCTGAGAACACGTGTCATCTCTGGGTCGTATTTCTATCATTGATGCGGTGTCAAAGGCAGGCCTTTGCTTTGTGTTCTGTGTGCTTCTTGCCTTACTCAGACACAAGTGACAAAAGACTTCACAAATACTTCCTGTCTCCCAATGTCCCCAGTCCAGTGAAGCAATTGCTGGGGAGGTGGCAGGTCTGCCTGGTGCAATTTCAAGGAAGTCTTAGAACATACATCATCTACAAGCAAGGGCCTTCCCAAACCAATTTTGCCCGACACTGTTCAGGCTGCCTCAACATGAATCGTCCTAGTATTCATTGCAGCTTCTGTTCAACAGATTGAAACATCATCTTTCTATGATTGAAGAGTCGCACTTTGAGGGCTTGACTAATCCATTCATCGGCCGTCGCTCGCAAAGCGTCCGTGACGTTGGCCAAGATGTCTGGCGTTCGCGGAGCCTTGCAGAGACTCGGCGCTCGCAGCTCCGCGCAGCAAGATGGTTTGGTTTGTTTCATTTATTGTGTGTGTGTGTGTTTTTTTTAGATCTTCAAACACAAGAAAAGAACCTGATAGCGATGACCTCCAACCTACTAGCGATTGCCTCCAACCTAATAGCAAGATACCAACAAAAACTCCAGCTGAAGGCCTCGTAGCGAATCTCCTTAGAACATGTTGGGCCGTGATTCTCAGAATTGACCAAAAATGGAGGCTATAACTGCTTGGTTGCAAGCAAAAGAGCTGTCTTTTGGGTTGAAGAATGCCAAGTTCAGTTCGCGCCTCCACTGGAGATGGCTCATCTGGCATGCCAGATCGGGCTTGCCTCCGAATTCTCCCAGACATGGTAGATTTCAGATTTTTGCCAGAAAAGAAGGAAGAGCTTTTTGCTGCTTCATGAATTTCCCATGGATAGATAGATACAGCTCAGCAAAAGTAGCTCTTGATGTTGTTTTGGCTCTGAGCAACTAAGGAAAACAATACCTTTGCAGATTGATACCCTGCAGAGTATTGGTAAATAATGGTAAATATTATATATATATATATGGTTTTTTTGACCGAAGCGACAAAGACAAATTTGAACATAATGCCATAATGCTCTATAAAAGGGCGCTTGAAAAATTTAAGTGTTTGGTAAGCACCTTTGGTTGGTCTCTTAACTGTAGGTGTGACAGCACACACGCGCCTCCGAAGATGAGTAATGAACGAGTGCCAGTCCATTCGCTCACCTCCCGTCTCTGACCTGAAGTCTCACCGAGAGCCGTTTTCAGCACCGACTCACCAAATCGCTCCACAGCGTGACCGGTCTTGGGAAACCCCACGCTCGACCAGTAATTTGCAAGAAAATGGCTTGCGCAGCCTGTTGTCATTGGGAAGAAAGCATGAAGAAACTTGAATGAAAAAGCACCAGAGCAGAATGTGAAGCCTCTTTGGCATTGCGATGGCCCTCACAGCACATTGCACACGCGTCACGTCTGAAGGGGAACCTATGCCAGCAAAAGCTGCCGATGCCTCCGGAAGCAGAGATCGAACATCTTGGAGAGATAGAAGTCCATCAGTGTCCTACGAGTACCAAGGTTGAAGTAGTTTCAACTCCTCTCCACCTCTCCACAATGTGGCACAAGCTTGCTTGCAGCATCAGAAGTGGAAAGGACTCTCCTTGTCCGCATTGTGGAAGATCATTTGAATGCAGGGCTCAATCTTTGGGTTACCCAAGTCTATGCAAGCCTCAAAGGAGATCGTCGATCTCAAGCATTTCTCCACCAAAATGCTGAAATGAAATGCCTTGGGCAAGACTAGGCAAGGAACCGCTACAAACTCGGTCCAGTCCTCAGGCGGATCTTTTACGAAGCACTGCGCTCACAAAGTCAAAAGTGAAAGGCTGCTTGTCAGTTCGCATCAAAGAAATACCAAAATTCAGCTGGGTCCAGGACCACTGCATTTTTATTCTGGCTCAAATTCATGGCAGCTGCAGCGCCTCAAACTTCATGCAAGTCAAACATGGTCCAAGATTGAATTTTGCTGGTACAAGAAAGACAAGGCCCTGACGCTTGGCTTGTTGCTCGTCATAACCACAGCTGACAAACTTCCGGACCTTGTGTCGGCGATTGTCAGGGTGGAACTGGCCTTCTCACATGCTCACCTCTACAAAGAAAACATCGTTCCTTTTCCCACGAAAGGGAAGCGTCCTAAGGCCAAAACCAAGATAGACTCCTGCAACATTCCTGTGCCTTCGTCATCAAACCTGATTGCACAAGCTCTCTTCTCCAAACAAAGAACAGCATGCCTTTCCGATTTCTTGGGCAGCAGCTCTTTGAAAACACCCTTGAAGGAAGGCATTTCGTTTGGAGGCCACTCCTGGTTTCACGCGGCTCTAGGATGTCAAACGGATGGGACATGTGGTCACCCCGAGCAGCCTGTGCTATCTTCAGGCATATGAGCTTGTAGAATGCCTCATTGCAACTCGATCCGTTTTAGTGCCTTGTTTAGTGCTTTGCCGGTACATAAAAATACAATAATGATAGAAACTAGAAACATAATAATAACAATAATGATATTAATAACAATAATAATACTGCCCATAGCTAAGCACGCTCCTGGGTACGTATTGACATTGCTGCTTCTCAGGACTGCCTTCTTGTAATGCTGATGATGCCAACATGCTGATGTGCATTACATGTTCAGTTATCATCATTGAAGTTCAAACTGCTGAGTCCAAGATGCATCCCGCTCGCACGTCGTGACCAACCGGTTGACCAATTTCAACCCTTTCTCCTGCAACGGTTTGTTTTGTCGGTGAAAGCAGCGCAATGTTGAGTAGTGTTGCTCAACGAACTTCAATCTGCGTGTCCATCTGCGTCACCGGAATGGCAGTGGAAGCCTTGCTGCATGATGCATAAACCGGCACAAACCAATCAATCCGCTGTCACTTTATGTCACTTATCATGTTCTTTGCCGACCTACTTGATTCAGTAGGCGCCTACTTAATTAAGCAAGGGAGTAAGCTACTAGCCACTAGTTCGCTCCTAGGAACAGGACGAAGGATAGCTCACACACAAATGATTTGGTTCCTACTAGCGTGGCACTGGTTTCTACTAGTTTCTTGTTACTACTAGTA